TCAGGACGTGGTTGATCCCCTCTTGTCTGGGTCTCGCCTCCGTTTCGACTTGCCTGAGCTTGTCCGGAGGTACCAGCTGGGGGAAGATTCCCTGTTCGCTGTTCCAGTGGTGGATGAGTGCGTGTTTACTTCGGTCGCCTTGTGGGGAGGCTCGGCTTCCTCCGGAGCAGCTCCGGCTGCTCGGCAAGGGCGGTTCACACCACCGTTTGCCCTCGCGGGCGCCCCCCTGCAGCATGCATACCGGACCTACGAGGAGGTCTACCGGAACGCCATGCAGCAGGTGCGGGTCGTGGTCCATGAGGCCTACCTCTCCTCGATACAGAGGTCGGCCCTGGAGGCGGAGGGGCATGCTGGAGACGTTTCTCCGCATGTCGTGCTACTCCGTCAGTTATCCGAAGTTCAGGCACACCTCGCGCGCGACTCCTTGCGGTCAGCTGCGTCGACAGTGATGTGCGTAGTCATGGGGATGCGCAAGCTGTGGCTGTCGACGTCTCGGTACTCGGCAGCTACACAGCAGACCTTGCTGGCCCTTCCCTACCGTCTGGGAGCGACGTTTCCTGGGGCCCAGCAGGTCATACGGGAGGCTGCCGCTGCAGCTACCTCCTTCAAGGACTCTAAGGCCTTGTTGGAGCACCCGCGGGCTTCTCGCCCCCGCGCTCCCGTTCCACCTTCCTCCGCCGGGGTGCAGCCTACACCCGAGTCCGCTGGCTGGCTTCAGCCGCTTGGCAGGGGTAGGCGGAGGAACAGGTCCGCCAAGGGTAAGGGCAAAGAGCAGTCCTCTTCGACTAGCTCCCAGCCTTTTCGCGTGTGCGGGAGGTCTGCCCCGACCTCCCGTTAACCCAGCAGGCTGTAGACCCAGCCGTGTGTCACTCCCAGTCAGCTCCGCTACTCGGGACCACACACGCGCTCTTACCCCACATCCCAGTGGGAGGCCGCCTCTCTCTATTCCTGCCGGAGTAGGAGAAGGCTACAAACAACACTTGGGTGCTGTCCACCATAAGTGTAGGCCATTTACCACTGTGGAAGCGAGGTCCGCCCGACTTCACCGGCATACGCCGCACTCCGGTGCCGTCATGTCAGGCAAGGGCGGACATATTGCGCGACGAAGTTCAGGCTCTGCTGGACAAGTCCGCAATCGAGCGCATTCCACCGGGAGAGGAACAGGCGGGATTTTACTCCACGTACTTCCTCGTCCCGAAGAAAGACGGCGGGTTCCGTCCCATTTTCAACCTCATGGGGTTGAATCGCATGCTAGAAGTACCATCCTTCAAGATGGAGACACTGCGCTCGGTGATCTCCTCTGTTCAGCCCGGGCGATTGGCTCACGCCAATCGACCTCAAGGATGCGTGATTCTGCATGTGCCCATACATCCATCGCTCAAGCAGTACCTTCGGTTCTCTTACGACGGGATGTGTTACCAATTCAGGGTGCTCCCCTTTGGCATATCGACTGCCCCAAGGGTGTTCACCAAGCTCATGTTAGTCCCGGCTACCCTCGCTCGCTCGCAAGGAAGGCGTTGTTACCCTTACCTCGACGACTGGTTGCTCGGCGCACTAACACAGCCAGCGAGCCTAGATGCTACTCACACAGTGATAGCCATTCTAGTTCGACTAGGGTGGAACATCAACCTCAAGAAATCTGACCTGGTACCCACCCAGGACTTGGTTTTTCTCGAGGCGAGGTTCCAAACACACAAGGATCTAGTTTCCTTGTCGCCCGACCGGGTCACCAGAGTACGGGAGATGGTGTCTTTGTTCCTCTCCCAGCCCCAGGCACCACCATGGCGGCAACGATCTCTGTAGTGTGGCGGGCGCGGTTGAGGATGCGCCCTATACAGCAAGCTTTGGCGAGTCTGTGGGCTCACTCGGAGGACCTGGAGCAGAGTCTCACAGTCCCCGGGTGGTTGACACCTCACCTTCAGTGGTGGACCAATGTCGGGAATCTCACCAGGGGATCCCCTTGGAAATCCCGACGCCAGCTCTTACAGTTCAGACCGATGCGTCCCTCACGGGCTGGGGGGGTGTTCTGGGCAGTCTGTCGGTGTCCGGACTCTGGTCCGAAGCCGAAGCCCACCTTCACATCAACGTGTTGGAACTGAGAGCTGTGCGGTTGGTTTTCGAGCGCTTCCGAGAGCATGTCCAGGGCCAGGTGGTTCGTCTTCAGTTGGACAACCAGACGGCCATGTCGTACATCCTGAAGCAAGGCGGCACGGTGTCCCGAGCGCTCCTCCGGGGAGACATGGGACTTTCTCCTCTGGTGCGACCAGTCAGCGGTTGTCAGGTACTCCCTGTTTATCTCCCCGGGCTGGAGAACGCGGCGAAAGCAGACACTCTCTCGCGGATCCTGGCCCCGCGACGCAGTGGATGCTCGACAAGCAGATATTCAGAGTTATCTCCCAGTTGTACCGGTCGCTCCAGGTGGATCTGTTTGCGTCCGGGCGGGATGAATCAGACACCCGTGTTCTGCTCTCGAATACCGGACCGAAGGCGCTTGGCCGACGCCTTCCTGCTGGATTGACGGGCAAAGTGCTCTGGGCGTTCCCGCCGTTACCACTCATTCCCCGCGGTCCTTTCACAGCTGTCCACCCAGCCAGCTCGGCTGCTTGTGCTACTGGCACCGCTTTGGCCGCCACAGAGCTGGTTTCCGGTAATTCTCAGGTTTCTGGCTCAGCCTCCTGTTCTATTACCTTTACGACCGGACATTCTCACTCAGAACAGAGCGTCCCACCCCAATCCAAGGATTCAATGGGTGGCTTGGCCTCTGTCAGGTCTAGCCTTGAGGCACGCGGAATTCCTGCAGCAGTTGCAGACACAATTCTGGCTTCGAGGCGGGATTCGACAAACGTTCAGTATGAGGATAGGTGGTCCCGCTATGCGTGCTGGTGTTCAGATAGGGGATTGCAGATCCCTTTTCTGCGGATTTAGTCCGAGTTTTGGAGTTTTTGCAAGCTCGTTTGGAAGAAGGCCTGGCGGCTTCGACCATTCACGGCTGCTCCACCGCTATTTCCACTTTTCACACCCCTGTCGATGGTGCTCTTCTGGGGGAGCACCCTCTCGTACAGCGCTTTCTCGCTGGCGCGGAACGGGTTCGACCTGCTGTCAGGCGAACCAGCCCACCTTGGGATTTGTCAATTGTGCTCGATTGGCCTTCCAGTCCAACTTTCTCACACCAGTTGTTAACTTGGAAGGCTGTTTTTCTGGTGGCGGTAACATCTGGGCGTAGGGTCGGCGATTTACATGCTATGTCGTCCGACCCGGCGCTGACTGTGTTTCACACTAATCGTGTCAGTATTCACCTCCCGGATACGTACCGCCCGAAGGTCGATCACGCTTTCCATGTGACAGCTCCTATCGAACTTCCCACTCTTACCCAGCCTTCCACATCGGGGACCTCTGCAACGAGCACTCACCCGTTGGATGTCCGTAAGACCCTCAAAGTCTATATCAAACGAACGCAGGGAATCCGTACGGGTACCCAGCTGTTCTGTTGTTACGGTGGCGGGAAGGCTGGTGTGCCGGCGAGCAAGCAGACTTTGTCTCACTGGCTAGTTTCGTGTATTTGTGCCGCTTATCAGGCTAAGGGCAAGCCTCCCCCTGAGGGGTTGAAGGCTCACTCGGTCAGGGCAGTAGCCGCATCAAAAGCTTTTGCATCGGCACTCCCCATTGAAGAGATCTGCTCTGCCGCTATTTGGAGCCGGCCTAGCACGTTTATTCATCATTATCAGCTCGATACACATTCCCGTAATCGTGCGAGCTTTGGCCGTTCTGTTCTCTCCAGTGGACAGTGTCCTGCCACCCTGACCGAGTGAGTCTTGGTTCATTGGTTTTTGTTGACGCTGCTGGTCAATACTGAGTTTTATTGACATGTCCGCTAATGGGAGCTAAATAACCTCATTTCGATCCTCTACGGAGTATTTAGGTCGGTTGTGAGCGTTTTGACATTCCCCCCTACGGTGCTCACTAATCGACACAAGGTGGGTGGGGCTTTGTTTACATTTCGCACCATGTGCGACTTGCTATGCGAACCTCTGAGGTCGTCTTTAAGTACAATCCTCCCTGTCAGTTCTCCTCCCACAATGCCTCTCGCGGAAGCGAAAACTGGGACATGTGACAGGTGAGTGTTATGGCGTCTGTTACATTATTCAATTGACGATAGCTATTTGTATGTGCTTGGACAGAATTCCCTCCTCCCTGGCCTCCGGTCTTTGGGAGTCTGTGTTTATGCATAATATGTACCCCAAGGACGATCTCTATGAAGAAGAATTAACCAAACCTGAAGAGGTTTTCAATTCTTCGAAGAGAGTCGTCCTTGGGGTAGGGCCTCCCGCCTCCCCGCAATTCTGTTCACTGATTTATTCAGCAGAAGGAATGATGATACGGGCCTAGGTGCTTACCCAGTTGGTGCGCATGCGTAACGGGAGGTAACTCCACGAGGTAGGGGCCGTATAATAAATAAAAAAGTTTATTTATTGTACAATCTTTTTATTCAAAAAACATTGATACAACTGTCACAGGACATTTTCAGCTTGGAAAATGCAATAATATGTACCCCAAGGACGACTCTCTTCGAAGAATTGAAAACCTCTTCAGGTTTGGTTAAGTTTTTCATTTCTACCACTGGTTAATTTACTGTGGGGAGACTCATCAATTGCAATCCATCGATAGTTTGATGCATCGTTACAGCCCTAATAATTTTCTTCACAAGTACGGTGAGTCCCACTCAAGATCGACTCATCTGGATTGTAGTCCAGAATCAAAAGATAGAATGAAGGCTTGGGATTTACATCTTGGATGGGTTGCTTTTCACTTTTTACAGAAATGAGACAAAATTTTGTTTAAGACACAGGGAAGTATTAGATATCAAATTTGATGTAAAATTACAGACATTGGTGAAATGAGTCTGTCAAATGTTTTCATGCTGTGTGTAATTTGTCAGGCTATATGTTGGTAGCCTACCATGTCTTGTTCGGAGCTTGGAGGATAAGAGTTTGTGTTTGCAGATACTCACAGTTCCAAACTGAGTACTCTCTGGAACAGATCATGTCTTCACCCAAGATACATGACCCTCTCACCAAGCTACAGTGTTGGTAAGTGTCGAGTAATGTTGAGTGTTGTGCTGGAGCAAGCTGTAATGTTGAGTGTTGTGCTGTACAGAGCTGTACTGTTGAGTGTTGTGCTGTGTGAGAGAGCTGTACTGTTGAGTGTTGTGCTGTACAGAGCTGTACTGTTGAGTGTTGTACTGTTGAGTGTTGTGCTGTACAGAGCTGTAATGTTGAGTGTTGTGCTGTACAGAGCTGTACTGTTGAGTGTTGTGCTGTACAGAGCTGTAATGTTGAGTGTTGTGCTGTAGAGCTGTACTGTTGAGTGTTGTGCTGTACAGAGCTGTAATGTTGAGTGTTGTGCTGTATTGTTGAGTGTTGTGCTGTACAGAGCTGTACTGTTGAGTGTTGTGCTGTACAGAGCTGTACTGTTGAGTGTTGTGCTGTACAGAGCTGTAATGTTGAGTGTTGTGCTTAGAGCTGTACTGTTGAGTGTTGTGCTGTACAGAGCTGTAATGTTGGAGTGCTGTGTTGTGCTGTACAGGCTGTAGGCTGTTGTTGAGCTGTTGTACTGTTGAGCTGTACTGTAGTGTTGAGCTGTACTGTTGAGTGTTGTGCTGTGTGCTGTAGCTGTACTGTTGAGTGTTGTGCTGTAGAGCTGTACTGTTGAGTGTTGTGCTGTAGAGCTGTAATGTTGAGTTTTGTTCTGTAGAGCTGTACTGTTGAGTGTTGTGCTAGAGCTGTACTGTTGAGTGTTGTGCTGTACAGAGCTGTAACTGTTGAGTGTTGTGCTGTACAGAGCTGTAATGTTGGGTGTTGTGCTGTAGAGCTGTACTGTTGAGTGTTGTGCTGTAGATGACTGTACTGCTGTACTGTTGAGTGTTGAGCTGTGCTGTACTGTTGAGTGTTGTGCTGTACAGAGCTGTACTGTTGAGTGTTGTGCTGTAGAGAGCTGTACTGTTGAGTGTTGCTGTACAGAGCTGTACTGTTGAGTGTTGTGCTGTACAGAGCTGTACTGTTGAGTGTTGTGGTTTAGAGCTGTACTGTTGAGTGTTGTGCTGTACAGAGCTGTACTGTTGAGTGTTGTGCTGTACAGAGCTGTACTGTTGAGTGTTGTGCTGTAGAGCTGTACTGTTGAGTGTTGTGCTGTACAGAGCTGTACTGTTGAGTGTTGTGCTGTACAGAGCTGTACTGTACTGTTGAGTGTTGTGGCTGTAGAGCTGTACTGTGAGTGTTGTGCTGTGCTGTAGCTGTAATGTTGAGTGTTGTGCTGTACCGAGCTGTACTGTTGAGTGTTGTGCTGTAGAGCTGTAATGTTGAGTGTTGTGCTGTAGAGCTGTAATGTTGGGTGTTGTGCTGTAGAGCTGTACTGTTGAGTGTTTTCCTGTACAGAGCTGTAATGTTGGGTGTTGTGTTGTAGTCCCACATCCGACGGGTCAGGTGCTGCAGTGTTGGCCAGTGAGGAGTTCGTGAGGAACAACAACCTGCAGGAACAGGCTGTGGAGATACTTGCTATGGAGATGGCCACAGACCTACCCTCAGCCTTCAATGAAAACAGTTGTATGAAGATGGTAAGACACAGCTTGGTTGGATGCACTAGCAAATCAGCTCATGGAAAGTCACCTGTGAAGATGCATGTACAGTTGAGGACTGGGAAAACATTGTACCCTTTGATGTACAATTCATAACCAAAATCTATTGCATGGTACCTGATTCATCTTGTAAAAGAATCTATTACAAAAGTAAAAGGGATTTCTGCCAACAGATTGTCTTGCAGTGTTTAGGGGATTTCACTGCTCAGCAGATCTAAGTGTTTTATTTAGTCTCATTTGTATATAGTTTAATGTCCCCAGTAGCATGACACATGAAATATGGGAATGTTGGACACATCCAGGTTAATTGAAGGTGTATTAACAAAGCTGCCTTTGTGTGGAGGTGTATGTCCTATTCAGTTGTTTAAGACAGTTCAGTCTATCAAATCATATTTCAGGTGGGGTTTGATATGACCAAAAAGGCTGCTGATGAAGTATTCCAAAAAGCAGGTTTGTATTCTAGTTATATAGTATGATTTCATTTTGTACCACTGAATAATCATGTTAAAGGGGCACTGATTCAGAGCTATCCATGTGTCATGCCCCCAATCTAATTACGTCATCTAGCTGTCAGGTGGTTAGTCCCTGCTCCCTCGACTGTGGCGGACACGGGGACTGGGAAGCTGTCCATCAGATGCTGTTATTTGAAAATATGCCCAGTAGTTCTTGTCTGATTATAATAAAGTATCCCAGTAGTGTAGACTTTTTCAGATTTCAGGTTTCTATGTCTGATTAAATTTGATCCTATTTCTGTGTTTTTACCTCAATATTTAATCATGTCATATAACAATGTGATAGCTATGGACCTATGATATTAATAACACGCATTTGATTTATTTGAATCCGTAAAGTAAATCAACCATTGCTAGGAAAATCTAAAATTTAAGTAGGTATATTCATCTTTAACTTTAGTACATGTATTTCTTATACAGCAATGAAGTTCCATTCGTATCCTCAAAACAGCGTCGACACCTAAGTTTTGTTAGGAATTTAATACTACTCCTTTGCTGTCACCCATGTTTGGTGGTATAAACCTACACATGTTATTTGTCATCATTCACTTGATGGTCTGTTAATGAATTTTATGATTAGTGGTAACACCACTCAGATTACTCGACAAAGGTTCCCATTTAGCATTTATCGTGTTTGGAGTAAATACTCAACATTGCAAATTAAGGTCTGAGGTGGCAAATGTATTACTTGTAAAATGTGCATGGAAGTGCAGCAAGAGGAATTATCATCTGAGTTGAAGAAACAAACATTGATCAACGGATTAACCGATAACATGTTGAAAGATTAATTACTTTTATCTTGCACAGTGGATTGTCGAAAGGTAGTGTTTATGTATGTAGATTTACTAACATATACTGAATACACCCACATTCTGTGATAAAGTGCCTTTGTAAAAACGTCCTTCCTTCAAAGGATAAACCGACAATATGTTGATTGATTGCTCATTGTTGGCAGACATCATGTAAATGGTTGTCAGGTGTGCTATCATGGGGGACCAATGAGACTATGATAAACCTGAAACAAAGTCCTTGTACGTTTTTCGTATAAGACTGTTAAAAGACACATGACATGGAGACGGTTTCTTACCTGTGAAGATGTTGATGTAGACGTTGGTGTGCTGCAGGTGTAAAGCGAGATGACGTGGATGTAGTGGAGCTTCATGACTGTTTCTCCTGCAATGAGCTCATCACATACGAAGCTCTTGGGCTCTGTGACAAAGGTAACAAGCAACTGTTTCATCACAATGATTATAGTGTTAGTTTATTATTGAAAAGTCCCAGCAGTTGAACACTTTTCATATTCATCTTTTAGCAGAATGACTCTGAAGGAGACTAATTCAGTGATTTTTAGAGTTGACAAGAGGTTAAAGCATAAAAGCACCCTCACATCAGTACAAAACCCTCACATTGCTAGGTACAAAGTACATTCCTCACATGGGTACAAAGTACATTCCTCACATGGGTACAAAGTACATTTCTCACATGAGTACAAAGTACATTCCTCAAATGGGTACACAATGCATTCCTCACATGGGTACAAAGTACATTCCTTACATGGGTACAAAGTACATTCCTCACATGTGTACAAAGTACATTCCTCACTTGGGTACATAATGCATTCCTCTCATGGGTACACAATGCATTCCTCTCATGGGTACACAATGCATTCCTCACATGGGTACAAAGTACATTCCTCACATGGGTACAAAGTACATTCCTCACTTGGGTACATAATGCATTCCTCTCATGGGTACAAAGTACATTCCTCACATCGTTACACAATGCATTCCTCTGCTGGGTACAACGTACATTCCTCACTTGGGTACACAATGCATTCCTCACATGGGTACACAATGCATTCCTCACATGGGTACACAATGCATTCCTCTGATGGGTACAAAGTACATTCCTCACTAGATACAAAGTACATTCCGCACTTGGGTACACAATGCATTCCTCACATGGGTACACAATGCATTCCTCACTTGGGTACACAATGCATTCCTCACATGGGTACACTGCATTCCTCACATGGATACAAAGTACATTCCTCACATGAGTACAAAGAACTTTTCTCACATGGGTACACAATGCATTCCTCAAATGGGTACAAAGTACATTCCTCACATCGTTAAACAATGCATTCCTCTCATGGGTACGACGTACATTCCTCACATGGGTACACAATGCATTCCTCACATGGGTACAAAGTACATTCCTCACATGGGTACACAATGCATTCCTCACTTGGGTACAAAGTACATTCCTCACATGGGTACACAATGCATTCCTCACTTGGGTACACAATGCATTCCTCACATGGGTACAAAGTACATTCCTCACATGGGTACAAAAGAAATTTTCTCACATGGGTACACAATGCATTCCTCAAATGGGTACAAAGTACATTCCTCACATGGGTACACAATGCATTCCTCACATGGGTACACAATGCATTCCTCTCATGGGTACACAATGCATTCCTCACATGGGTACAAAGTACATTCCTCACATGAGTACAAATAAATTTTCTCACATGGGTACACAATGCATTCCTCACATGGGTACACAATGCATTCCTCACATGGGTACAAAGTACATTCCTCACTAGGTACAAAGTACATTCCTCACATGGGTACACAATGCATTCCTCACATGGGTACAAAGTACATTCCTCACATGGGTACACAATGCATTCCTCACATGGGTACAAAGTACATTCCTCACATGGGTACAAAGTACATTCCCCACATGGGTACAAAGTACATTCCCCACATTGAATAGCCCCAGCCTATGCAAATGCATCGAATAAACATACACGCACAAAACCGAGTGCCATAAAAGGGCTACACAGCGTGCAAGTTTTTGATTACGACATATATATCTGTATATACTGAATTAGCCCAAGTGAACTCGGAGATTCAGAGCCAGTGGGGGTCTAGACTGGCTTAATTTTGGACTATTGCATTACAGGAGGGGTTAGGCTGAAAGTTTAGAGTATGAGACCGACTACTGGCATGTGTAAGGTCCCAGCGATACAGAGCGAATGTGGTTCTTACAAGGAGGGAAACGCATATAAAAAAACCTTATCTCCTAGTAATATTAGCGTTCGTATTTCGGAAAATATGTTTATAGATTTGGGCAAGTAGAAGATGTCCTTCATTTGAAACATGCTCTGCTGATCATAGCTAGTGACTTCATAATATCTTTTGGAACAATGCAGCTGACTTGGTAATGTTCATCTAGGTGAGGTATGTCAATATATTAGAGCTGACATTGTATTGTCCACGTTCATCAGCTTATGAAGATAGTGATTCATGTGAGCCAGTTCCATGATGCGAGAACTATTGTCGATTCATTCACTCTCTGCCTGAAGGACAACATAGTCATATGACATACTGAAATCGGGAAATGAATGACAGTTGGTCTTTTAGTATCCATCTAGATGAGGTCACCCACTACTGTCAGTATGTATAGACATTTCAAGGTTTTCTGCGCAAAATCTAATTCTAAAGCGTCTGTCAATGTATATACCACCTTCTGTGCGTGTATTGAATAGATGATAGTAATTAAATGCAACTTGTCAATTGGCTCTCTGAGGTACGACTTATGCAGAGACCAGTTGATATTGGCAACATACATTGTGTTGTCAATAATAGCGTTTGGAATGATCTACTATCCACGTCATGAGACTGACTGTGTATTTATTCATTAACCATTCTCACAGGTTCACAAATATGTTGGGTCAAAATTGATCTTCAGCAACCCATGTTGTAAGAGGGAACTAATGTGATCAGGTGGTCATTCTCACTCACTTGTTTGATGCATGCCATCGTATCCCACTTGGGAAGGTCGATGCTTGTAGTGTCATGACCATGTTATGTGTAACTCTTTTGTGTATATCATTACATATTACTAAAACTGAGGCCTGCATATTTTTTTTAATGTTACAGTAGAAGCAAGATGTTTATATGAATATTATCTAGGAATATCTTTGAGTTGTCCATAAAAGTAGGCACTTAATGTTTTGTATTTAAAGCAATACGTAATAGATCTTCATCAAATATTCCTCTGTGACAAAGTTGCAAATAAGTTAAGACTAAATCGTTTCCGTGGACCTTCACTAGATATCTGTGCATGTAAACGTCAATGTACAGGAAGGTGTAGCTGTAAGAGGTTGAACCTGTTGTGTACTTCAGATGTGGAAACATGTTCCCGTAGTCTTGACATTGTTGATACTGACTAACATATCAACTGGGAATACACTATGACTATCAAGAAAAAGAAATACAAATTGATATGAAGGAAATGCTGCTTGCGTTATGATGACATGACTGACTGATCATTCTTTGATGAGCAGAGACGGACATCTGTAATAATAGAATTATACGTTTGAGAGCTTCCTTTTATGTTGTGTGATTTTAATGATAGTGCAACAGTATCTTCGACATATTTGGTATGATTGATATTTTTCTTGGTTTCCATGGAAACGTTTTGGACTTAGTCTCAAAAGGGACTCAAATATATTTTTGTGATGAGCATATGTGTAATATTATTGTCCACAATTTTAAATCATGATCTGAGCATTCCAAAACTACTATTTTGGTGAAAATCAGTCAATCCAAACCAGAGTTATTAAATTAAACCATCCACCTATCGGTTAATATATAGCCATAACTGACATGACATGTTGCACTTTAAAAGGGCCCCTGCACGGTAGTCACGCACGGTAGCTGATGACAACCGGCTGTAAATCAAAGCTAAATCATTCCTGATTGTGAAAAATCATGTCATCAGAACTTCACTTTTTTAGCATTTTAGGGGTCTGGCTTCTAGACCAACATGTTTGTTGCCACAAGCTTGTTCATTAGGGTCCAATCCTATTTTCAGTGTTGCCACTAGCAGAGGCCCAGATAAGCTGCGTATCCGGGTAAAATACGCATAGAATTACGCATTGAAAAATAATTGTTGCGTACCAATTACGCATTTAAAAAGGTAGAGTTTAAAACAAATGTGTACGGAATATATTTATAGAATTTGCTTGCGTAATGAAAAAGACATTGATTGCTATCAAGTTGTACTGTTAGTATAGGACAAGTGTTATAATGTCAGTATAGGATGAGTAATTTTGTATGTAATCATTTCCATTATATTTAAGTTGGTTTTGATTAGGTATGACATAAGGCAGAACGTACCTGCTTAGTAAACTTGCTCAATGACATAATACTTAGGTAAGTAAAATGACTGAAATACATACATATTTGAAAGCAGTGGGTAACGGAAAATGAAATACCCACTCAACATTCATAATACCCACTCCCAAAAATACAGTGGGTACAGTACACACATGAGCTAAATCTTATCTGGAGCTCTGCACTAGTGCTGTAACTATGCATCGAACTATCGATGAATTGCAATTGTTGCGGCTCCGATAGCAATTAATCGATGGTAGAAACAAAAAACTTAGATTTAGAGTTGCAATAGTTCGTCGCAATAGTATTTTGCAATAGACTATCGCTTGTGCAATAGTTGTTTCCCCCTCAATAGTATGTTGCAATAGACTATCGCTTGTGCAATAGTTGTTTCCCCCTCAATAGTATGTTGCAATAGACAATCGCTTGTGCAATAGTTGTTTCCCCCTCAATAGTATGTTGCAATAGACTATCGCTTGTGCAATAGTTGTTTCCCCCTCAATAGTATGTTGCAATAGACTATCGCTTGTGCAATAGTTGTTTCCCCCTCAATAGTATGTTGCAATAGACTATCACTAGTGCAATAGTTGTTTCCCTCAAGACAATAGACTATCGCTTGTGCAATAGTTGTTTCCTCAATAGTATGTTGCAATAGACTATCACTAGTGCAATAGTTGTTTCCCCCTCAATAGTATGTTGCAATAGACTATCGCTTGTGCAATAGTTGTTTCCCCCTCAATAGTATGTTGCAATAGACTATCACTAGTGCAATAGTTGTTTCCCCCTCAATAGTATTTTGCAATAGACTATCACCCCTCAATAGTATGTTGCAATAGACTATCGCCCAGTGCAATAGTTGTTTCCCCCTCAATAGTATTTTGCAATAGACTATCACCCTCAATAAGTATGTTGTTTCACCCCCAATGGTATGTTGCAATGGAGCTATCAATAGTATAGTTGTTTCCCCTCAATAGTATTTTGCAATAGACTATCACCCTCAATAGTATGTTGCAATAGACTATCGCAATGCTATGGCTAGTGCAACAGTTGTTTCCCCCCTCAATAGTATTTTGCAATAGACTATCACAATAGTATGTATGTTGCAATAGACTATCGGCTTGTGCAATAGTTGTTTCCCCCTCAATAGTATGTTGCAATAGACTATCACTAGTGCAATAGTTGTTTCCCCCTCAATAGTATGTTGCAATAGACTATCACCCTCAATAGTATGTTGCAATAGACTATCGCTTGTGCAATAGTTGTTTCCCCTCAATAGTATGTTGCAATAGACTATCACTAGTGCAATAGTTGTTTCCCCTCAATAGTTTGCAATAGACTATCACCCTCAATAGTATGTTGCAATAGACTATCGCTTAGTTACCCTCAATAGTATGTTGCAATAGACTATCACTAGTGCAATAGTTGTTTCCCCCTCAATAGTATTTTGCAATAGACTATCACCCTCAATAGTATGTTGCAATAGACTATCGCTTGTGCAATAGTTGTTTCCCCCTCAATAGTATTTTGCAATAGACTATCACCCTCAATAGTATGTTGCAATAGACTATCACTAGTGCAATAGTTGTTTCCCCCTCCATAGTATGTTGCAATAGACTATCACCCTCAATAGTATGTTGCAATAGACTATCGCTTGTGCAATAGTTGTTTCCCCCTCAATAGTATGTTGCAATAGACTATCACTAGTGCAATAGTTGTTTCCCCCTCAATAGTATTTTGCAATAGACTATCGCTTGTGCAATAGTTGTTTCCCCCTCAATAGTATGTTGCAATAGACTATCACTAGTGCAATAGTTGTTTCCCCCTCAATAGTATGTTGCAATAGACTATCGCTAGTGCAATAGTTGTTTCCCCCTCAATAGTATGTTGCAATAGACTATCGCTAGTGCAATAGTTGTTTCCCCCTCAATAGTATGTTGCAATAGACTATCACCCTCAATAGTATGTTGCAATAGACTATCGCTTGTGCAATAGTTGTTTCCCCCTCAATAGTATGTTGCAATAGACTATCGCTTGTGCAATAGTTGTTTCCCCCTCAATAGTATGTTGCAATAGACTATCACTAGTGCAATAGTTGTTTCCCCCTCAATAGTATGTTGCAATAGACTATCACTAGTGCAATAGTTGTTTCCCCCTCAATAGTATGTTGCAATAGACTATCACTTGTGCAATAGTTGTTTCCCTCAATAGTATGTTGCAATAGACTATCGCCTTGTGCAATAGTTGTTTCCCTCAATAGTATTTTGCAATAGACTATTGTGCAATAGTTGTTTCCCTCAATAGTATTTTGCAATAGACTATCGCTTGTGCAATAGTTGTTTCCCCCTCAATAGTATTTTGCAATAGACTATCGCTTGTGCAATAGTTGTTTCCCCCTCAATAGTATGTTGCAATAGACTATCACTAGTGCAATAGTTGTTTCCCCCTCAATAGTATGTTGCAATAGACTATCGCTTGTGCAATAGTTGTTTCCCCCTCAATAGTATGTTGCAATAGACTATCACTTGTGCAATAGTTGTTTCCCCCTCAATAGTCGCCCCTAGTTGTCGCCATACTGAAACACAAACTTATTATGACTGTTGTACAGCCTTCATGGTTCCATATGTAAGAAAGGTGGTAGATAAGTCGAGGTTACTAGTTAGTGAGGCTTACATGTTGCATTTTCATGTTTTGGAGCTTGGTTCTTGGTGGCGTTTGTAGCATTCCCATCCCATTCCAAATCATGAATTGAAACACATTCAATATCTTTCAATGAAATTTGTCATATGCATTATCATCAGCTGATCAGCTGTTTTAAGATTTTTCTTTCTTTACTTCTTTGTGTTGCCATGGAACGATCTGGACTTTATTAAAGACATTTCAAGGCATTGTTTCCAAGCAATAACTGTAAAAACTAATGGATTTCATTGCAGGAAATTATACACAGGCATTGACACATTGCCTTTTCATATGTTTCTATATTTAGGAAATTAGTGTTTCTGTAATAACTAATTGTACATTCTGAAGAGCCTTTCCACTAAACATAAAACTCCTGATGGTTCATTGTGGGTAAACCTACTTGTGCAATAAAATCTGTCATCTAAACTATTGTTACAATAGAAGTATTCTTATCTGCCATGAGTCAACTGGACATCATTCATTAATGCTTTAATTTAAATAGAATTTGTTTGGGGGGTTTTAAAACGTGTCTAGTAACAACTTTAGCTAATGTATTTTGACCTTTATTGACCATGCTACTGATCTTTTTCAAAATGTGCATTTGGCTTTGTAACCATTTACGCCTGAAGTTTTGTACTAGAGAAGCTGAACTTTGGCCTCTTTATTTCTCAGGGCATGCATTATGCCATCTTGTTTTGTTCAGATCATTAGTTGAAAGTGTGGTTTATAAACTAGCTCAGTATTAATGCTGAAAATATTATAATATCAGGGCCAGTTACAACTTTTGTACATTTTAGACAGTGGACTACATATGCAGGTGAGCAATAGTTAAAGGGGTAATGTTGAAGAAAGAGGCCTCAGTTCAGTTCAAAGTCCAACACTGCTAAGGTACCGCTAGAGTGAAGGTAGTACACAGTTAAACGGCATGTCTGTGTGTTATCAGGGAAAGCTGGGGAGATGGTGGACAGAGGTGATAACACATATGGAGGAAAGTATGTTGTCAACCCCAGCGGTGGACTCATATCTAAAGGTCACCCTCTTGGAGCAACAGGTAGGCTGGCTATAAACTAACCTGGACCTAATCTCTGTGTTCAAGGGTAGTTTATGTGATTGGGCAGTGTGTAGTGTTTCTGGTCCAAGGTTCACACTATTGGACCTGCATTAAGATTGATAAAGTAGAGGCTATATGAGTTTGGTTTGTTCCCACCGACAGACTTCATTTCCTTTGATTTCATCTTGGATTTAGCATTGTAAGTGTTGATTATACCTTTTGTTGATTATTGGTGGAGTGCATCTGGCTGATTATTAATATCTTGTGATGATCTGTTGATATAACTGGATCTGGTAGCTGCAGAAGGATTGATGAAAGATAAATTTAGAAGTGATGGAGATTGTTATGAAAGTAGAAATTTCATTAAATAGAACAGCATGCTTACTGTAATTTGAAAATGTTTACCTTTGTTCATAGTTTAGATTAAAAAGGTAATTGAATACTTGCAATGTAAGCTGGTACCTGCCCATTGTGTGTCGCTGCCAGCAGTAATGTTGGTAAAGTGTAACAGCTGCCTGAGTGAATATCAGTGCCTTGTGGTGCAGCTGTATGTAGGTCAGAAAATGGGATGATTGTTACCAGTAAAGCAATATGTATTCCTGGCTGTGGTTCATGTGTACAATACAATTTTGGCACTAAACTTTGTTTAGGTTAGGTATGTTAAAGTATGAGAGGTTTAGTATTCCTTAACACTAATCTTGCTTTGTGCAAGCAGTATGTCGCTGCATGTTCATATCCTCTGTCATGAACTATTCATCATTTTTTACCCTGAAACCGCTCGACCAGTGAATCTCAAAAATCTAAGTGTGGGGAATTAAACATTTCACCTTCTTGACTTAGAATCAATGAAAGGTTGCCTTTGTCCAGAACTTGGCTACAGAAACATGCTATGGTGAATATAATGCTGCCTGATGTAGTGTCCTGAGACGTGACACATCTCTGATTGTTTTGAAGGCCTGGCCCAGTGTGCAGAGTTGAGTTGGCAGCTGCGTGGCTTGGCTGGTCGCAGACAGGTGGACGGTGCACAGTTGGCTCTGCAGCACAATCTTGGCCTAGGTGGAGCAGTGGTGGTGGCACTCTACAGGATGGGATTCCCCGAGTACAGACAGTAAGTGTCATAGGGTTGGTGCCAGGAGGTAACATGATGGTGGCTCTCAACAGGATGGGATTCCCTGAGTACAGACAGTAAGTGTCATAGGGTTGGTGCCAGGAGGTAACATGGTGGTGGATCTCTACAGGATGGGATTCCCCGAGTACAGACAGTAAGTGTCATAGGGTTGGTGCCAGGAGGTAACATGATGGTGGATCTCAACAGGATGGGATTCCCGAAAGTACAGACAGTAAGTGTCATAGGGTTAGTGCCAGGAGGTAACATGGTGGTGGATCTCTACAGGATGGGATTCTACAGGATGAAAGTACAGACAGTAAGTGTCATAGGGTTAGTGCCAGGAGGTAACATGGTGGTGGATCTCTACAGGATGGGATTCCCCAGTACAGACAGTAAGTGTCATAGGGTTAGTGCCAGGAGGTAACGGGTGGTGGGATCTCTACAGGATGGGATTTAGTACAGACAGTAAGTGTCAGTGAGGGTAGGTGCCATGGTGGTGGATCTCTACAGGATGGGATTCCCCGAGTACAGACAGTAAGTGTCATAGGGTTAGTGCCAGGAGGTAACATGGTGGTGGATCTCTACAGGATGGGATTCCCCGAGTACAGACAGTAAGTGTCATAGGGTTAGTGCCAGGAGGTAACATGGTGGTGGATCTCTACAGGATGGGATTCCCTGAGTACAGACAGTAAGTGTCATAGGGTTAGTGCCAGGAGGTAACATGGTGGTACAGGATGGGTTTGGTGCCATAGGGGAGGTAACATGGTGGTGGCACTCTACAGGATGGGATTCCCCGAGTACAGACAGTAAGTGTCATAGGGTTAGTGCCAGGAGGTAACATGGTGGTGGATCTCTACAGGATGGGATTCTGTGAGTACAGACAGTAAGTGTCATAGGGTTAGTGCCAGGAGGTAACATGATGGTGGATCTCTACAGGATGGGATTCCCCGAGTACAGACAGTAAGTGTGATAGGTTTGGTGCCAGGAGGTAACATGATGGTGGCTCTCTACAGGATGGGATTCCCCGAGTACAGACAGTAAGTGTCATAGGGTTAGTGCCAGGAGGTAACATGATGGTGGCTCTCTACAGGATGGGATTCCCCGAGTACAGACAGTAAGTGTCATAGGGTTAGTGCCAGGAGGTAACGTGGTGGTGGATCTCTACAAGATGGGATTCTGTGAGTACAGAGAGTAAGTGTCATAGGGTTAGTGCCAGAAGGTAACCTGGTGGTGGCTCTCAACAGGATGGGATTCCCCGAGTATAGACAGCAAGTGTCATAGGTTTGGTGCCAGGAGGTAACTGGACATATGTTTACTATAGACCACTGTCAGTCATGTATTGTCCTTCCTCCAGTAGGTTTCATATTGAGTATAGTAAAACATTATTTCTTAAGAAAGGTTCTGAGAGCATCTACATTTATGTCTGAAAAACAACAACCAAGGTGGGGTCACAAATGGAAATATACTGATTTCTGGAGCTCACTTGATATTATTTAAAGATAGACAATGATATGCAGAGCATGACAAAGAAACATGATTTTGCTAATTTAGCCAGCCATGAATTTACAGACTATCTCATTTACACATTAAAGGTGTTGTTCAACAACCTCAACCTGGTGTGTCTGTCTGTCTCCCTGTCTGTTTGTGTCTGTTTGTCTGTGGTTATTTAGGATTGAGATGTTAAGTGGTGCAGACACTACCCACACATGTTTTCTCCAACCGTGATGTGTTCCAATATGTTATGTCCACAGGAGCAGCATATCTGCAGTGGGAGCCAGTGCCTCCTCAGAATCCGACTTCAAATCAGCAGCAGCCTTCAGTGAGATCAAGAAGGCCATTGATGCAGTGAGTGGACACTTGTGTACAATACTCTGCTGAAGACTGTCGCACAACAGAACTGTCAGTAATGTCACATAACACACATAACAGAACTGTCATCCAAACTAAATCTTTGTAGTATTTTGTAGTTTAAGGTTCAACCAGGCATACAAGCATGTGAAAGGTTATGTATTGTGTTTTCCAGCAAAATTGAAGACAAATATTTGTTATTTTCAAACAGATACTACTTTCTTAGATAAAAAACTGACTGGTCAATTTTGGCTTGTAGGCTATAACGAATTGATGAAATTAATCAATCTTTACACAAGGTAGGGAGCCATCTTATCATGGAACATATGTTATGGAATGGGTTATTCATTGATGGGTGGATCAGAGAAATGACACGTTGAGAATGTTGTGTCTGTGATGTCAGTTTGTGACAAGGACTGTGACCCACTTATTATTAGAATGAGAATTGCCACATGTTGTTGGTTATGTCTCCCCAGGATGGCAGCAACATCGTCAAGAAGATGAAAGGTGTGTTCTGCTTCAAGGTGAAGGGAGCAGGTGGCAAAGAGGGAATCTGGATTGTTGATGCCAAGAATGGAAGCGGATCAGTCACATTTGGCACACAGAGTGAGTGAATGGAGGACATATTCCTGTGCTTGCATTTGTCATCAATATTTGTTGGGTAGCCTAGTGATTAAAAGTGTCACTCGTCTTGACAAAGAGCTGGGTTGGATTCCACAAATGGGTACAAGGCGTGAAGCCCATTTCTGGGTGTCCATCACTATGGTAGTGTAGAATTATTGTTAAACACAGTGTAAAAAGGCATTCATTCACTATTTGTTGAGTACTTTCATTCACTATTTGTTGAGTACTTTCATTCGCTATTTGTTGAGTACTTTCATTCACTATTTGTTGAGTACTTTCATTCACTATTTGTTGAGTACTTTCATTCACTATTTGTTGAGTACTTTCATTCACTAGTTGTTGAGTACTTTCATTCATTATTTGTTGAGTACTTTCATTCACTATTTGTTGAGTACTTTCATTCACTAGTTGTTGAGTACTTTCATTCATTATTTGTTGAGTACTTTCATTCACTAGTTGTTGAGTACTTTCATTCACTAGTTGTTGAGTACTTTCATTCACTAGTTGTTGAGTACTTTCATTCACTATTTGTTGAGTACTTTCATTCATTATTTGTTGAGTACTTTCATTCACTATTTGTTGAGTACTTGTCCTACATATCCTTCATGGAATTCTCATATTCTTGTTTGTTGTAGGCAAGTCTGATGTCACCATTGCCATGAATGATGAAGATCTGCTGAAACTGATGACTGGGAAGCTGAACCCACAGCAGGTAGGTTGCAATAGAAACATTTGATTCTATGTGGATATTGAACCTTTCAGGCCCATATGCCTCAATTGTCAGAATATTGTTGATATTTGCCAGGTGGAGGACATTATCACTGGGCGTCTTCCCATTATTATTATTAGTGGAAAACAAAACAGTCAGCTGAAAGTTATTTTGGCAATAAAATGTTTCTTGAGAAGATGATTTACAATTTCAGTAGAGTTAACTGTTACATACAGCGTTTTTATGTTCATAGAGATTAAGATAACGCTTTGTCTAACAGTCTCATCAAATCTGCCAGAAATGGAAATAGGCTGTTCACACATCCTTGATCTACTAAGTTGGAAATTCCAGTGTACATTTCCCCAACTCCCTACCAACCTATTTTGTTCTTGCACTGATGAAAGAAATCAGTGACATGTGAGATGAAACATTTCAAATCCACATTTGTGTAATTTATAGTAGTAGCTGTCAGCACAGAAATCTACAGAAACATTGAATGGTGTTAAGTGTGGATAACAAGGCTGTTTACCATGTCCACCTGCACCTGTTGTATGGCAGTCCTGTGTGAGGGCTGGTGGGTCGTCATCTGGAGACAATAATACATGCATGCTGATTCCTTCTTCCAGGCCTTCTTCCAAGGTAAACTGAAGATCACAGGCAACATGGGGCTGGCTATGAAGCTGAAGGAGATCCAACCCAAGAAGGCCAACCTGTGAGACACTCGTCCACATCACCACAGACTGCAGAGTATAGCTGCACAGGCAGAATAGCAAGTGTATAAAGACACTTTCTATTTCATGCATAATAGTATTCTTTGATACTTTTGTAAGATTACAGCCTCATGCAGATTGACCTAAGCCCTAGTGAAAATAACTTGACTGAAATCATGAACAAACATGTAGATTTATTGACATATATTGTACATATGATTGAAGACCAACCATCAAGGGTTATACCAGTAATATATACAGGATGTGTTGTTTGTTTGTAAATATGTGTTTTAATGAATGTGATGAATGGGAGATTTGGAGTAATTGTCTTGAATTACTTTGCTTTAGGTATACTCAGTGCTATATTTCAACTTTTAAGTGCTTTTTTAAGACTATATAAAGTCCTATTAGTGGAAGTATATATTACAAGAAAACCATTTTGGTGAAATACCTTTTAAAGGTTTTATGCTTGTCATACAAATAAATTAGTTTGACAGTGTTTTGTGCTGTTGATGCAACTATTCTAATAATAAAGTTGTGAACTTTGTTGATGTCCTGAATATTTTTATCCCCCGCAACGCGTTTTGCTGGGGGTATTAAAATGGACTCCGTCCGTGCGTGCGTGCATCCGTCCGTCTGTCCGTCCGTCCGTGCACATTTGTCTTTTCCGGAGCAGAACTCTAAAACTGTTCAATATTTCTTCACCAAACTTGGCACATAGATAGATCTGGTGGTGTACTGGTGCCTTTTGGTAGTTTTGGATTTCTGAATAAAATATTTTTGGCGTTTCTGTGGCAACAAGTTGACTTATTTGACATAATCATAACTCGTAGACATAATCATGAAGAGTATTTTGCCATTGCGGGGGATATTGATGACTTTGTCTTCTTGTTGTCATTGCAAAGGATAAATTAGCAAAACAGAATTATATGCTACACGGTTCCAGAGTGGCATGAACGTTTGTTCTTTTATCCCGGAGCATTAAAATCTCAAAACCGTTCACATTTGTCTTTTCCGAGCAGAACTCTAAAACCGTTCAATATTTCTTCACCAAACTTGGCACATACATGGATCTGGTGGTGTACTGGTGCCTTTTGGTAGTTTTGGAATTCTGAATTAAATATTTTTGGCGTTTCCATGGCAAAAAGGTCGACTTTGACTGAAATTGGTGGTAGTGCTCTTTTCCGGAGCAGAACTCTAAAACCCTTAACTATTTCATCACCAAACTTGGCACATAGATAGATCTGGTGGTGTACTTGTGCCTTTTGATAGTTTTGGAATTCTGTATAAAATATTTTTGGCGTTTCCATGGCAACAAGTTTGACTTAGACTGAAATTGGTGGTAGTGCTCTTTTCCGGAGCAGAACTCTAAAACTGTTCAATATTTCTTCACCAAACTTGGCACATAGATAGATCTGGTGGTGTAGTGGTGCCTTTTGGTTGTTTTGGAATTCTGAATAAAATATTTTTGGCATTTCCATGGCAACAAGTTTCACTTAGCCTGGAATTGGTGGTACGTGCACATTTGTCTTTTCCGGAGCAGAACTCTAAAACCGTTCAATATTTCTTCACCAAACTTGGCACATACATGGATCTGGTGGTGTACTTGTGCCTTTTGGTAGTTTTGGAATTCTGAATAAAATATTTTGGCGTTTCCATGGCAACAATTTTCACTTAGCCTGAAATTGTGGTTGTGCTCTTTTCCATAGCAGAACTCTAAAACCATTCACTATTTCTTCACCAAACTTGGCACATAGATAGATCTGGTGGTGTACTGGTGCCTTTTGGTAGTTTTGGAATTCTGAATAAAATATTTTTGGCATTTCCATGCCAACAAGTTTGACATAGAATGAAATTGGTGACAGTGCTCCTTTCTGGAGCAGAACTTTCAAAACCTTTCAATACTCTCCTTCCACTTTTCTATATACACACATAAATATTTGACATAATCATAACTCGTAGACATAATCATGAAGAGTATTTTGCCATTGCGGGGGATATTGATGACTTTGTCTTCTTGTTGCACATGTATTGGGATGTAAATATTACAGGCAACCATAACTAGAAAAGTAAATGTTTATTAGAAATCTGACACATCATTTAACATGTGTAAAAGCAAAGAATATACAATAAATTTAAATCAACTTTACATTCAACATCAGTATCTAGGAAAGATGTGCAACATTTTCCAACAGCTTCAGTGGATTGAACAAACTGCACATAGATATCTATATTAAGGTGACACGATTTACAAAAGTTCCTATCAACTGACAATTCACTGACACATTAACTATCATTCACAATTAACGGGTGATAAATCATGTTTTTACATGCTCTCTGATTATGCCCACCTGACTCTCCTGCATGGCCATAACAAGAACCCTTGTCACTGTTTGCACCTTCCTGGAACTGACTCAAGTTAAAAACAAACATTAACCTGTTGGTTGGACAGGATCAACAGATACTTCTTCACATAAACTGCTTGATCTCTTCATTCTATATTTTCTAGCATCCAATTTTAAGAACAATGTCCATTCCCCCTTGCATTGCTATAAAACAATTAAAGGCTGTCTCTGGAATGAAGATAATTCCAGTAAATCCGTGTAGATCTGTCAGCATATATACTCCAATTCAAATGGAGTAGGGGAACCAACAAATCTCTTCTTGAAGGATGACTGAGACACCCCTTTAATTGCTGAGGCAGCACTGGGCCCTGAGTGACGGGTACTACCACAGCTGCAGACTCTTAACAACTGACACTGCTGTACAAATGGGGCTTCTCACAACCATTTCAGGAAGGTTCCACTGACACACATCTAACCTCATCATTCTGCATGTACACACACAGCTTACATACATCATTACACTGTGACCATGTGCACCACACATACACTGGCCTACATGTACAATACACAAACCACTGGCCTACATGTACACAAAACATACTATAGTACCAACATCCATATGTGCAATCATTACACTATTTACAGCTTGCATACAATAACAACTCACATTGTGCACTTCATATTCTATATCATATATAACATTTTGACACATCATATTATTATCTAAAAAATTGAAATGTATGCAGTGGTAATGAAACCAAATGTCCCCTGCAGTAGTATTAAAACATAGAATTAGAAAATGTACTGCATACTGGTATATGACAAACCGACCAACAAGTGTCATTATAAAACAATCCACAAAACACTGGAACTATACAAACAAATACTTCACCCACCTGTAATCCCTATCAGAAAAATCTAGTGTACCAGTTTCATCTGGCAGGGTATATACTGTTTTGATTGATTGATAACCAGGGGATCCAGAGCACTGTCACGTTAGATGCAACAGATTTCCATATGAATATGAGAGGTGAATCATTTATGAATCAGGTCGGGAAAAGGACCCAGGTTTTTTAAAGAAGTATATTTCAGAACATTTTCACATTTCATTTTAACTGATAGTTTGTAACAGATATTTGTACAGGGCTAATGTTTTAATGTCACATGACCAAATACTGTATTTTCCCACTGATATATGAAACCAAGTTTATAATCCCTCATCATTCTGGGCAGTCCCTCACGTTTGTTTGATGTTGAGTTCATCAATCACTGCCACTCTTTTACTGTCATCTAGTTTAATGATGAAGGGATGTTCGTCCACTCCCAGTGTGGATGGAATGTCAATATGTAGCTCTGCATGAACTTCTGTGTCTGGTTTCACACTCTCCAATGTATTGCACTCATGGAGAACATTGACACGAAATATTATCTCATGAATTGCATCAATAACACTGAATCTAAAACAGCTGACAGAACTTGGTGTGATTTTCTGAGATTTTTGACTGAATTCTTTCTTCAGATTACTGCCTGACACCTCAATTTCTCCATTCACACCAAGAAAACATTTGATTCCTACAATATTTTCAAAATCTGCATATGCAGTTGGTCGAATAAAAATGTCTAGTCCAGTGCGGCCTGACTCTGCCTCTTTGCCTTCCCGATTGATGAACTGAACACGACCACTAAGCTTTATAGTAGGTGTAGGTTTGTACTTGGATTTGCTGATAACATACACAATCGGGCTGACAAGGACCAGAGCCTCTGTGCTGGGTAGAATGGACTCCTGCTCCCTCCAGAACCCCATCTTCACCCAAGCCCCTGGGTGGAACATAACCTCATCTCTCTTCTTGACTAAGTCATTGACTCTTTCCCCGGAGAAATGCCTGTACTGCTTCAGGTGGGACTGAAGGTAGTCCTCATTCAAGTCAAAGAATACCATATTTGGTGCAAACCTGTAGCAGACATACATGAGGTCTTCCGACACCTTCACATCTTCTGGGGAGTGCCATATCATCAGGGCAGAGTGGGGGACTACATCAATTAGCCATTTCAGTTGAGGGACAGAGTTTCTGATCAGGGACAGTCGAGCCTGGAAGACTATTGGCTGGTCGTCCACGTCCCACGATTTGACCAGGTCACGCATGGTCATCACCATCTCCCAGGTGTAGCCGCTCTGGCTGAGGTCCGTGTGGGTGCCAGACGTCCAGCCCAGCGACAGTGTACACTTAGGGAACACTCGCTTCACTGTCTTGAAGAAACGTGTGGCAACCACTGCTGCCTTCCCACCATGAGGGCCTTGTAACACATCAGCATGTAGCCAGACTGGAAACTCTATGGTTTTCTGAGGGTGGTGAAAAAATGGAAATTTAACAATAATATGTAATCATATTTGAAAACAAGAGTCATCAGAAGATGACATATCCCCCCGGCCCCCACATCTTTGAAAGAACAAATCATCTGACAGTTACTTAAAGTCCAGCTTGATTTTAGACTAAGTGCAAATCGTTTCCATGGAAATCATGAAAAAAATAAATGACAAAAATCTGCAAATAGCAAAAGGCACCACTTTGGGATCTGCCTCACATATCTGCCAAGTTTTGCTGAAAGATATTAAGAAGTTTTCGCGTTGTGCTCCGGAAACAAAACCTACCCCTCCCTTTTGAGGCTAAGTCCAAATTGTTTCCATGGAAACTGAGAAAATAATAAATCACAAATATCTGCAAATAGCAAAGGCACCACTTTGGCATCTGCCTCACATATCTGCCAAGTTTTGCTGAAAGATATTCAGAAGTTTTCCAGTTGTGTTCGAGGAAGCGAAACCCATCCCTTCCTTTTTGAGACTAAGTCCGAATCATTTCCATGGAAACCGAGAAAATAATAAATCACAAATATCTGCAAATAGCAAAGGCACCACTTCAAGATCTGCCTCACATATCTGCCAAGTTTTGCTGAAAGATATAGAGAGGTTTTGAGTTGTGCTCGGAAGCGAAGCCTACCCTCACTTTTGGGATTAAGTCGAATCGTTTCCATGGAAACCGGGAAAAATAAAATGCCAAAAATCTGCAAATAGCAAAGGCACAACTTTAGGATCTGTTTGATATATCTACCAAGTTTTGTTGAAAAATATTATCACGGTTTTGAGTTGTGCTCGGAAGCGAAAGCAATCCTTACTTTTGAGAGTAAGTCCAAAATGTTTCCATGGAAACTGGGAAAAATAAAATGCCAAAATCTGCAAATAGCAAAAGGCACCACTTAAGGTTCTGTTTCATACATCTACCAAGTTTTGTAGAAAAATATTGAGCGGTTCTTGAGTTATGCTCGAAGCGAAGCCCACCCCTCACTTTTGGGATTAAGTCCGACTTTGGGATCGTTTCCATGGAAACCGAGAAAAATAAAAATACCAAAAATCTGTAAATAGCAAAAGGCACCACTTTGGGATCTGTTTGATATATCTACCAAGTCTTGTTGAAAAATATTAAACGGTTCTTGAGTTATGCTCCGGAAACGAAGCCCACCCTTCTTTAAGACTAAGTCCAAAACGTTTCCATGGAAACCGAGAAAAATAAAAATGACAATTATCTGTAAATAGCAAAAGGCACCACCTTAGGTTATGTTTGACATATCTACCAATTTTGGTTAAAAAATATCGAACGGTCTTTGAGTTATGGTCCGGAAACAAAATGATTACGGACGGAACGGACGGACGGACGGATGGACGGACGGACAGACGGACGAGGCGATGACTATATCCCACCGCATTATATGCCGGTGGGATAAAAAGTGCCAGGAAATGGGGAGGTTACCCATACACATATCACAAGCATTATGTCATATTTTCAGTGAACCCGTTTCAACGTCTGGTCAGTCAAGACTGTTTTGCATGAACTGACTGCTTGTTGCCCCATTTCAAAATATGATGAAGATTTCAACTGGCAGATATATTTCAGAAAAATCAATCGTAGACAAAAAAACAAAACTTACAGTGGAATATTTTGAAAATGAACTGTCTACTAATAATCTTTTTTCTAGAATGTGATCAGACGTGAATGAAAACCACACCACCTTAACTTGAAAGACTTCTTCCTTATTATCTACTGGATGAAAATGCATGCAGCCTGAACCTATGAAAATTATAAAAAAAATTCCTAAAGCCAAATTATAGAACATCTGTACATAATAAGAAAAATGACCAATTCTGCCTGTGTGCTTGTCTGGTCTAGATGTTGTGGAGTGGAATGTTACGTACCTTTTCATTCATCTGCTTGAGTTTCTCTAGTGATATCTCCACACTGTCAATGGAGGTGAAGTCCAGCTTGATCCCCTTGTTCCCATACTTGAGGGCATCAAGCCATTCTGTGAGTGTGACATCACTATCTGTCTGGGGGGGTTTCCCCATGACTGGGACGAGGGACTGCACCTTGGTGCCCTGGCCCCTCAGTATCACATCCCCTTCCACCATGTGGACACTCCCTAAACAAGGAAAGGGCACACCGCTACAGCATGGTCAGCTATAGCTATGTAGGTCCTGTCGGAGAGCCAGGGAACTGCTTCATACAGCAGTCCTGTATATATGGTATGTTTGACAGTCTGCCATGTAACAGGTTCCCATCATTAAGATCCTATTTACATCAGACAAGCTTTACATAATGTATGGGTGAACAATTTATTATAACCAGCATAACCATTGAACATAAATACAAAAGTTTAATGAAAGTAGTGAACTTTGCAAGACTGCAGGATCTATTTAATGTAAACCCCAGTAGGTATAAACATGAGTCCCAACATCTTCATTAACTTGTGATACCTTTAAGGTAATTGTAACCGTTAGGTAAGGCAGTCCATTTTTTTATTTTAAACCAGCATATATAAAGTGTCAGTGTTTGCACTACCTTTGGCTGCTGCTTCCAGCTTGGCCTTGGTGTTCACTGCACGTGCCCACTTGATCTTGCTCCCATCATCCTCGGCATCCCCGAAGAACATCAGGACATGAACATCGGGGCCCACCTGCAAGAATGGCAGTCTCGGACGCAGAAAGCTTGGTATCAGTCCTGGAAACAACAAAAGCAGCAAATGTCATTTCTGGGGAAGACGCAGACTCATACTTAGTCTCTGAAAATATATCATTTTGACAAATATTTCCATTTGAATTGAGCTGAGAGATTTGGAACTGAACTGAAGAAAACGTAGACCTGCTTCATTTAGGGCTTTTTCCCAGGGGCTTTCTCTTTTTTTTTAGGGCTGGGCAGTTAAAATGTGGTCAAATACTTTCACCACACTCCGCAATACTCCAGCTGTGTGGCCTGTAAATGATGAGGATCAAACAATACATGGAAACTCTTGATGCACTGCCTGATGTGACAGTTGTCCATACAGTAGATGGATCACATAGATCTGTACTATAACAGGTGAGAGCACAAAGTCAAGAAAGTTGTTCTTTATCAGGATTGTATATCTTGCAAGTGTCTATAGTTTGTCTTTAAATTTAAAACATGGATTCTGTGCTATTATTCTGGTGAAGTGAGATATATATCACGACCATGCTGACCATAGTTTATACATCAAGACACACACATAGTGTATCTTTCTGCATCTTTGCACCCAGAGCAACCATGATAATCCAGTGATTGCTATAAAGTCTGACATGCAGTCTGCATACAACTACATGATATCATACACAAGCTATACAGCCTGATCACCCAACCCACTTAATACAAACATTGCTGAGAGCGGCGTAAAACTGAACTCACCCACTGAACTCACTCACTGAATCTCCATATGGTGTCATCATCACACTACACCAACAGTGGGTGCTTAATCAAGCTCTAATTCTAGTCCTTTACATTGCATCAACTCTGATTTGCACCAATTAAAATGATGAACTAAGAGCCCTTTCCTTGATCATCAAAACATGGCTTAACTGGCCTTCTCACAACATATGCCACTTGTTTGATATTTTAATTCACCCCTACAGTAATAAACAACACTGGCTGTCACCAAGACTAACATATAATCTCTGATATTTGATTTTAATATATAAAAGTTAAATTTTGCTTCCAATAAAAGGGATCAGCCAAAGAGAAAATAATGTGGTTCTGTGTCTAAGAATGACCAACTGTTACCTGGTATTGCCCTAGTGTGATATAATGCTTGACGTCAGAGACGTGCCCTCTGTCTTGATCTACTGTAGTACTGTATCTGATAATTCAATTTTCGCTCACAGATACTGAGTTACTGTAACCAGGAAACGACAGGGCATCAGGTAGTTCTATATCAAAGACTCTGGAAATTATTTCTATGATAATTGCATTTTTTCGCAACATAATGTATGTCAATTTCATCATTATTGAGCTTGTGATGCAAGTGTTCTCTATCATGTCAAGGAAGTGTTCTCCAAAACGGAAGCCAGGTGCTCAAGTCTAATTGTCTCAGGTGAGCTCATGAGCCGGACAGGTGCGCTACACCAACACACATATTGTGCACAGTTTCCTCACCTCCATTTAGCTGGTACCACAAATATAGAACAAAGATAGCTACAAATATTTGCACTCCCAGGTATTTCTTCAGGTTTCGTGTTGAAAAAGTTTGCATGTTGGCGGATGAGTTGACATCAAACACTAGCGAAACTTCCGCCATCCATTTGTGGCATTTACATCACGTGACCTGTACATATCCGGCTGTGTTGGTATGTAAAGATGCGCTCGTAAAATATGTTGGTGATGGGTGGAACCTCTATTATCGATTGGTGCAATGCAGACTCCTGGATTCTTTCATTACCTAAAACAAATTTTCGCATCAAACCCTACTAATCCGATTTACAGAAAAATAATAATATTGAAAACCCTTCCCCTTTTCAGTATATTTTGGAATTTAATTATATTTTTACGTTTTGTGTTGCGTCAATGAATGTTTATAAAAACAAATGGAAAGGTTATTTTTAAAGCTGAAAATATGGACATTTTTTCAGAAATGTTGTCGACCAGTTACAGCCAGATATCACGTTGATAACATGAAGAAATGAAATGTCCTATAACAATATCAAGGAAGAAATTAACTGCGCTTCATATAATTTGGTGAAAACAATAACAACAAAACAATTGGTCATTTTATCTGTGTATTAGAACATACTCACTGACATAAAATCCACACCTGGTAGTGCAGTATAACAATTCATATTGAAATGTCAGTATATCGGCTGTTTGTACAATTTGCGTTGATATAAAGGAGGAATCGGCAGCGCTTGAAGACACCAGGTGAATGAAAACAGCCCGAGGATGTTTTCCAAATGTCAACAACAGATATTGCCCAATGAGCTGGCGTTAACGGTTGGTTATGGTCCTGTCGAAGGTCTCCATCCATCCAATTTCTGGTTTATTTAACTGAGGAGAGCTCTAGAGGAGTAGGGGCAGTGGGGTAGCCTAGTGGTTAAAGCGTTGGCTCGTCACGCCGAAGACCCGGGTTCGAATCCCCACATGGGTACAATGTGTGAAGCCCATTTTTGGTGTCCCCAGCCGTGATGTTGCTGGAATATTGCTAAAAGCTGCGTAAAACCAAACTCAGTCAGTCAGTCAGTCAGTCTAGAGGAGCAACATAGCAAAGCTATGCCACCATAAAATGACTGTAGCGCCAGTGCAATGTGACGTAACGTTTGCGCAAAGAGTTGGTCATGATCTCATGATTCCCGGTAGTGTTCACCTTTCAGACTGATATTTTCAGTGATGAACTTTGTCCTCTCAAGAGGTGTGATGCTTCCCCGAACCATTTCCCTTCCATTCCCAAACTTTGCATGCGGCGGTAAAATATGCAGATGTTAGACACCTGTAGATCCTTGCATGCCCCAGAGCTGACCACATGAAACCCGGATTCCTGAGTCAACAGTATATACATGGTCTGAGCCTTGTCTTCAGAGCTTCAGATGCTATCTTCACAAGAAAAACAGGCTTGTTTCACAGAGACATGTGAGCAAAACTAGCGCAAACCTTGTTTTTCATCGTGGCCGCATGTTCTACTCCATCAACCGCCAGTAATTGGTTTCAACCCACGAATTATTGTCCGGGCTGTTAAAGGGAAACCACATTTGTTTGCATATGCAATGTACATATGTGACATTGTCCATGTGATGAATTCTGCGCATTGAGATTATGATCGAGCAATGTTTATACTTTCAATAACGAATAAATCAACTTTCTACGTAAGACATTCTCATCTGACACCTTTTAAGGATTACTATAAGAAGTTGAAATGCTTGTGTTCGTGGTGATGACGACGACGATCAGTATTTTTACCCATATGAAGTTGTGACCACAAGAAAACAACACAAACGGGTGCTGATTTATGTGTCTGTCTTCGCAGCTTCGTTTAAAACAAGTACAGTTTTGTATTATTTATTCAACATGGTTTCGTTGTTATGCGTTTGCTCGTTATGCAAAAATAAGGCAAATTCGAATCCCGCTGAGATGCCGCTGTGATGTTTACAAACTGGCGTAAATGCACGAAGTTCCCCGGGACGCTGTGGTGTCGTACAACACAGAAGCACGATGTGGCAAATATAGTAAACTTCGACTGACCAATCGCTTTGTTTTTGTTTTCTTTTAATACCAAGCAAGGCCACCCACTGAACTCAAGCTAGTTCACACTGTCGCCCTAAACGGAACTAATTGTCTATGTAACGGAGTAGACAGAACTATTTTAACATGTTTATAAAACACTATCATGTTGGTTTTACGTTTCTCAAGATGTCTGCATAAGGATGTTGTTGTTGTTTTAGTGCAAAATGTCCGCGAAACGCCAAAGTGTGTGTACTTAAGGAAGCATTCGTAAAATAACACACTCCCAACATGGCCCCTATAAACGGGTGTCCTCTGCACTGATTAATACTGTTGAGTGAGTGAGTTTAGTTTTACGCCGCACTCAGCAATATTCCAGCTATATGGCGGCGGTCTGTAAATAATCGAGTCTGGACCAGACAATCCAGTGACCAACAGCATGAGCATCGATCTACGCTATTGGGAACCGATGACATGTGTCAACCAAGTCAGCGAGCCTGACCACCCGATCCCGTTAGTCGCCTGTTACGACAAGCATTGGTTACTGAAGATCAATATTCTAACCCGGACCTTCACGGGTATAATACTGTTGACTGAGGTATACGTGTTACAACATTAACAACGATTTCAATACATTGAATATCATGAACAGGATAAAATTTGTTGTATGCTATATTTTGTTCGAAAACAAACTCTGTAAGCCTGGTTGGTTTATTGCAGGTGGCTGCTCCTATCCAGCAAATCTATTTGAGACATGTTCGTCAGGCGTCATTCCTGGGGTAATGTTCACCGTTTGAGATGCTGTATGTCCATGTACAATGATTGTGATATAAAGTGACAAGGAATCACAACAGACAAAGAGTGTCCAGTTATCACACTTCCCTTATATCGCCCAGTGTTACAGTCGATGTGGTTTGTACAATGCACCTCAACATGTTAACTGTTTAACTAATTACAACCAGCGGACCATATCAACTTTGAAGCCGAGTCTAATTTTTGGACGTTTATGTCCATGGATTTGTCAGACATATAATAAGCTACACACGAATGCATATTATTAGGGTCATACATGAATGCTTTTTATATTTTCGTTTTTACTTTGTCTTCTAAACTCACGAAAAAGTTAATACTTAGTATGCCAGTATATCTACTTGCTTATGTTAAATGAGGCCTCAAAACAATTGATGATTTTTTTCTTCTGATTGTATGCCTACCATTGGGAGACTTTTGTTTCTTTCACTGAATACTTAGCTGTATTATTTCAGAAGTTGAAAGATTGATTGAGAAATGCCAACAGATTCTGTTGATTTTGTATCTTAGAAATCTTGCCGCTCTGTTTCACTGCCGGCAGTGGAGGTTCGATGGCTGCTAAAGCTAAACAAACAAAAACTGTTTATTCAATGGTCATGTATTTCGTGTGAGTGTAATAGTTGGAGGCCTAATATACTTCCCTAGTCTAGTAACATTTGTAATTATTTAGTCAAATCCAAATCTCCATTCTATAAGTGTCTCGCTAGACAGTATACTGTATTGTTTTTAGACCACTTAATATAATAATCTGTTCGTGCATTATACAACTTTCATCACCAAGATAGGATGAATTATGATTGATTGGTTTTCTGTAACATTACTATAGAATATGCCTATCAGCTTTCTTCACGCGTTTACCAGAATACCATGGATAGTGTGACTGGGGGATTATTGCTCATCGTCTTATCGGCAATGATTGTGATTTTGGCAAACAATGCATGTCAACAGTTTTGAGTGAATGAGTTTAGTTTTACGCCACACTCAGCAATATTCCAACTATATGGCGGCGGTCTGTAAATAATCGAGTCTGGGCCAGACAATACAGTGATCAACAGCACGAGTATCCATCTACGCAATTGTGATAGAATGACATGTGTCAACCAAGTCAGCGAGCCTGACCACCCGATCCCGTTAGTCGCCACACGACAAGCATGGGTTACTGAAGATCAATTCTAACCCAGATCTTCACGGGTCTCAACAGATTTGAAGAGTAGGCTGCATGAATGTTTCTATGGTGAAGGGTGTCTGTCTGCGTGTATAAGGTACACCGGTGGAACTATGGACGATAGACTAAGGCTTAGTCTCTGAATATATATAATTTTGATAGTAACAAACAAGCCCATTTATATTGAAAAGGAGCCCTAGGGAGACCAGAGATTCAGAACCTGAGGAAATCTAGACTTGCTTTATTTAGGGCTTTAGCACTGCAGAGAGGGCTTGGCAGTAGGGAAATGAATGTAGTTCAGGGACTGTGAGACAGACTATATGGACGACTGTGATCCAGGGCCTATATAAGTTTCTCGCTCTGACATACACCCATGAGACATGTGTCTTTCAGAGTCACCCCGACCGTACAGACACTAGTTATTGCTAGGGTTGTGAAAGCCTTGATCTCTGGGCTGTCTCGTATCATTCACAGTTACGCCAGTAAAAGACTGTTGTCAAAGGAAGTGATTATCTATTTGAAAACATGGGATTACAATCTTACAGTCTTTTCATGTGTTTATTGAATGTTCAATGAGGTGTCTTTGTACATGCGGGTATACATCTTAAGTCGGGTATATAGAATTGCCATGTCATGAGGTATATTTCTATACACCGGCAGAAACGAACCTATCTATCAGAAAACACATCCTTTGACTCGAACCACAATGAGATATCTATAAGCGTTTGCTACGTTTGATATTGGTATACATATACTAGATGTAAAGGGATTTTCATAATATTCGGACAGAAAACTGAACCTCCCATCTCAGCTCGTTAATGGAATAATGCGCGGTAATAAATGAAACGGATAAGTACGTTTGTGCAAACATATTTCATGTTTTAACGCTCAACGATAGTTTGTGGTCTTTTAAATATGTCGATCACGTTTTCAGCAATCTTTAGTCACAGAAACAGCCTGTTGAATCTGGTATCTGCAGTTGTACCAATGTTCAGATCGACCTCAGTAATCTCTACACCCACTAATGAACACGTGAACCAGATTATACGTGTACAAGTGTAGCTACCGGTGACAGCCAGCTCTCTATCAACCGCCACTGTAAAGCCCATTGTTTCTACAGTACTTAAGTGTTCAAGGTGGCTGTGTTGGTGATAAGGCAGGTACATATATTTAAAACTCTTTCAACAGCAGCCGATACCTGACTCTATCTGTTACCTTCACAGTTTCACTTTGAAGAAATCAACCCTTCTTTGCAATGAACACCTGTAACTGAACTCGATACAATGAAATACGATTTGAAAGGAGAGAACATTGTCACAATAATGATAATCTTATCTGCTGTTCAATAACTGATAACCCAATCAGGAGGGTGATCGATACCCGGTTGCCATGGCAGCAGCCAAGTGGGTGAGGGTAGCGCTTGAGCGGCAGACTTGAAGTGCTCAAGTGATTTATATGGTAATTATCAGGTAGAGGCGGTGTTAAGACGCCCATGCTAGAACGCACAGTTGGAGATCATATCGAAGCTATTAGACAGGTACTCCCGCCTTGTGTTCTGGGACGGAAGTTTACGGGGTAACTAGCAGGAGATAGGTGCTGTCTCCGATGACAAGTAATAGTTGACTGAGACTTGACCGTCATGCCGAGTAGCAGGATAAGATTTATTTAGTGTGAGGCGTGGATATGTTGGATACCTGATTTATTCCACACATGGACAATATGATGTCGAATGTTTGTGTCGTCAAAATTGGTAAGTAAAATTGTATTTAATCTTATAATTATAATTGTTTTAAGTTATATAACATCACAAATGATTATTTTCACTTTTTTTATGATCTCTACACATTTCAGGTTTGTTATGGAGTTTTAGATGATTAATATAACACATGTTTGTGTCCTACCTTTAATACTGTATCATTATCACCACATAATCAGATCTTAATTAATCCCAATTTGAAATAAGTAACTTTCTTAAACAGATCAAAGGAACTGGATGATATTAAAAATAATTTTCCATGGATATATTCTGTTTATGAAACAGACCGAAATTAAGCAAACATGGCAATAATTATATTCTCGTATTCAAGTGGGTTGTTTTCCCCCAAAACGTTAACTAATGTTAGAGAATACAGTATGAAATGTGCACTGTCTCCTATCTAAAAAACTTATATATAACGAGTCAATAGTAAATTATATTCTATTAGCAGAGACACAGTACAATAACAAAATAGTCAACAGAAGTCTTTTGAGTGTGACATTGTAAAGATCTGTCCAGTAATTCCACCCTGGTTATGGTGTATTGCCTTCCCTGGTGGTGAGTCCCGGCTGGCTGGAGCTGTCACAGCAGTATTGATTGCCAAGACTTCCACACAAGCTGCCTGTCACCACCCTATCTTCATCACCAGACCTGATGCCACACTGACCTGGTACTGAAAGGCATCACCAGTCTCCTGGAAACACAAGCAATGAACTGCCAACTCCTGGTGCTTGAAACAAAGTACAGTGAACTCATGCTAATACAAACAATTCACTGATTTATCTTATCGTTCAAGCTTGAGCTGCCATTGTGGTGTGTTGCCTCATGGCTCTGTGGATAATGGTCACATGCACGGGCGGATCCAGGAATTTTGAAGTGTGTGTGTGGTGGTGGTGGTGGTGGTGGGGTGGGGTGGGGGTGGGGGTCCAGGAGGGAGTGTTAAAATTTTTAAAAAAAACCTCTGGATCTGCCAATGCATGTCAATATGGAACCTGGATAAACCGAAATTCAAAACACAATTAGGTAACTACATTATTTTCAAGACCTTGATATGTTTCTGTGTAGCTGTGTTTCAAGAAATAGAAGTCAGATACAAACACTGAGCAGGTTTACTATACACCATTATAGCATTTCATCTACATAGATCATAACATGTGATATATTTACACATATATGTTCAAGCATGTTGCAATCATGATACAATAGAACATTGTTCTTCTGGGCATCTGATTCAGGCAAATCTTCCAGATAACCAGTTGTCCAGATTAACAGAACTCTGCATCACAGAGATCTTCTCAACCACAAGTTCTTGAATGTCAAGTTTGCATTACAACATTTATAGGTTCAGATGAGGTTGTTAAACATACATGTACTTCTGTAGAGTGCCCCCATCAATTACAACACCATGGTCCAGTGACCAAGGTATTCTGTAAGCCTGTGCAACTGGTTCTCGGACCATCTGTGTGGACCTGTTACAAAGTATTAGCAGGGCCGAGGCAATGAGGCTTATGCTAGGTATTTCTGTGAAGATCAGAAACATATTAATCCTGGTCAAGTCAGAGACAGGTGTAATCTTGTGTTTATTTTTGTCAGGATTAAACAAACAGGGGACTTAAGCAGGATAATCCGTATTGGCTAAGTTGTAGGGCCTTCTGGGAAAGACCTACACTGATTCAGTCACCAGTTTAACATAGTGGAGTTAGGCCACAATATATTTATGGTTTAGGTTTACCGATTCAACAAACAATAGCCAAAAACCACAATTAGAAAATGAAATACATAATAAATTCCATTTAGTTGTATTTACCTGACTGTTCCATGTTGACAAAAATAAAAGATATGACTACCACAAATATCAGGAATGAAGGAAACTTTAATGTTAAATATTAATTCATTTAATGCACTTTAAGTATTCTCTGACCTCTGAAAAAAGTCTTCTCAGAAGTTACTACACATACATTCTACTGCAATACTGCATCATTATAATTATAAATAGTATTAACATTATATTTTCCCCTTAAATTTATTAATGCAAACAGTGTGATGCGAGATGAAAAGTTAATGTTGAGTTAGACATTTTTTTATCACTTTATTTCAACTGACCTAGGCTTATTGCTTATCAAAAGTCTGTAACCCCCTGAACTAAAGTTTGTGTTAGCACAAAGGTCAAAGTGTAAGCAGAGATGACAAACAGATAAATGTAGTCATCTGTTCTGTGCACCAGGGAGTCTTAAACCCAAATCATTTATATGTGTAGCATTATTAAGGTGTTAGGGTGGCCCAACAGTCACTATGAGGGTTCATACTGACTAGTCCAGGTTGATTCCTGTTGTACACTGTGCCACCTGTGTACTGTTTCCAGAACAGACACCACACAGTAATTCAAAGTAGTGCACAATCCCTCTTTTAAAACCAGTGTAACATCGTCAGCTAGTGCCACACTGATGTACCACCCCATGTAGGAACATGTCTATCTGGGTCCACTGGCTGTGGGAATCATCTCCATGATCACTGGAGGCTTTCCTACTTCAGTAAGATCCTGTGATGTGACTGTAATACCTGATTGAATAGTGTGTCCTTCCTTGCATGTGTGTGATGTCCTCAGTAAGATGCTGTGATGTGACTGTAATACCTGATTGAATAGTGTGTCCTTCCTTGCATGTGTGTGATGTCCTCAGTAAGATCCTGTGATGTGACTGTACTACATGATTGAATAGTGTGTCCTTCCTTGCATGTGTGTGATGTCCTCAGTAAGATCCTGTGATGTGACTGTACTACATGATTGAATAGTGTGTCCTTCCTTGCATGTGTGTGATGTCCTCAGTAAGATGCTGTGATGTGACTGTAATACATGATTGAATAGTGTGTCCTTCCTTGCATGTGTGTGATGTCCTCAGTAAGATCCTGTGATGTGACTGTACTACATGATTGAATAGTGTGTCCTTCCTTGCATGTGTGTGATGTCCCTCAGTAAGATGCTGTGATGTGACTGTACTACATGATTGAATAGTGTGTCCTTCCTTGCATGTGTGTGATGTCCCTCAGTAAGATGCTGTGATGTGACTGTACTACATGATTGAATAGTGTGTCCTTCCTTGCATGTGTGTGATGTCCTCAGTAAGATCCTGTGATGTGACTGTACTACATGATTGAATAGTGTGTCCTTCCTTGCATGTGTGTGATGTCCTCAGTAAGATGCTGTGATGTGACTGTACTACATGATTGAATAGTGTGTCCTTCCTTGCATGTGTGTGATGTCCTCAGTAAGATGCTGTGATGTGACTGTAATACATGATTGAATAGTGTGTCCTTCCTTGCATGTGTGTGATGTCCTCAGTAAGATGCTGTGATGTGACTGTAATACATGATTGAATAGTGTGTCCTTCCTTGCATGTGTGTGATGTCCTCAGTAAGATGCTGTGATGTGACTGTAATACCTGATTGAATAGTGTGTCCTTCCTTGCATGTGTGTGATGTCCTCAGTAAGATCCTGTGATGTGACTGTAATACCTGATTGAATAGTGTGTCCTTCCCTGTGTGATGTCCTGCTGTGATGTGACTGTAATACCTGTGATGCATGTGTGTGATGTCCTCAGAGATCCTGTGATGTGACTGTACTACATGATTGAATAATGATTGAATGTCCTTCCTTGCATGTGTGTGATGTCCTCAGTAAGATGCTGTGATGTGACTGTAATACATGATTGAATAGTGTGTCCTTCCTTGCATGTGTGTGATGTCCTCAGTAAGATGCTGTGATGTGACTGTAATACCTGATTGAATAGTGTGTCCTTCCTTGCATGTGTGTGATGTCCCTCAGTAAGATCCTGTGATGTGACTGTACTACATGATTGAATAGTGTGTCCTTCCTTGCATGTGTGTGATCAGTAAGATGCTGTGATGTGACTGTAATACATGATTGAATAGTGTGTCCTTCCTTGCATGTGTGTGATGTCCTCAGTAAGATGCTGTGATGTGACTGTACTACATGATTGAATAGTGTGTCCTTCCTTGCATGTGTGTGATGTCCTCAGTAAGATCCTGTGATGTGACTGTACTACATGATTGAATAGTGTGTCCTTCCTTGCATGATGTCCCTCAGTAAGATGCTGTGATGTGACTGTAATACCTGAGAATAGTGTGTCCTTCCTTGCATGTGTGTGATGTCCTCAGTAAGATCCTGTGATGTGACTGTACTACATGATTGAATAGTGTGTCCTTCCTTGCATGTGTGTGATGTCCTCAGTAAGATGCTGTGATGTGACTGTACTACATGATTGAATAGTGTGTCCTTCCTTGCATGTGTGTGATGTCCTCAGTAAGATGCTGTGATGTGACTGTACTACATGATTGAATAGTGTGTCCTTCCTTGCATGTGTGTGATGTCCTCAGTAAGATGCTGTGATGTGACTGTAATACATGATTGAATAGTGTGTCCTTCCTTGCATGTGTGTGATGTCCTCAGTAAGATCCTGTGATGTGACTGTACTACATGATTGAATAGTGTGTCCTTCCTTGCATGTGTGTGATGTCCCTCAGTAAGATCCTGTGATGTGACTGTACTACATGATTGAATAGTGTGTCCTTCCTTGCATGTGTGTGATGTCCTCAGTAAGATGCTGTGATGTGACTGTACTACCATGATTGAATAGTGTGTCCTTCCTTGCATGTGTGTGATGTCCTCAGTAAGATGCTGTGATGTGACTGTAATACCATGATTGAATAGTGTGTCCTTCCTTGCATGTGTGTGATGTCCTCAGTAAGATGCTGTGATGTGACTGTACTACATGATTGAATAGTGTGTCCTTCCTTGCATGTGTGTGATGTCCTCAGTAAGATGCTGTGATGTGACTGTACTACATGATTGAATAGTGTGTCCTTCCTTGCATGTGTGTGATGTCCTCAGTAAGATGCTGTGATGTGACTGTACTACATGATTGAATAGTGTGTCCTTCCTTGCATGTGTGTGATGTCCTCAGTAAGATGCTGTGATGTGACTGTACTACATGATTGAATAGTGTGTCCTTCCTTGCATGTGTGTGATGTCCTCAGTAAGATGCTGTGATGTGACTGTACTACATGATTGAATAGTGTGTCCTTCCTTGCATGTGTGTGATGACCTCAGTAAGATGCTGTGATGTGACTGTAATACCTGATTGAATAGTGTGTCCTTCCTTGCATGTGTGTGATGTTGATTTACTTTCTGTTACAGAGCCAGCAGAAGTTGATGTGGATGATGTGGTGAGTCTACTTTGACACACAATACACTGTTGTACAACTGACACACACTACACTGTTGTACAACTGACACACACTACACTGTTGTACAACTGACACACACTACACTGTTGTACAACTGACACACACTACACTGTTGTACAACTGACACACACTACACTGTTGTACAACTGACACACACTACACTGTTGTACAACTGACACACACTACACTGTTGTACAACTGGACACACACTACACTGTTGTACAACTGACACACACTACACTGTTGTACAACTGACACACACTACACTGTTGTACAACTGACACACACTACACTGTTGTACAACTGACACACACTACACTGTTGTACAACTGACACACACTACACTGTTGTACAACTGACACACACTACACTGTTGTACAACTGACACACTACACTGTTGTACAACTGACACACACTACATTGTTGTACAACTGACACACACTACACTGTTGTACAACTGACACACACTACACTGTTGTACAACTGACACACAATACAATGACCCATGAAGGTCCGGGTTAGAATTGATCTTCAGTAACCCATGCTTGTCTTAAGAGGCGATTAACAGGATTGGGTGGTCAGGCTTGCTGACTTGGTTGACACGTCATCATATCCCAATTGCGTAGATCGATGCTCATGCTGTTGGTCACTGGATTGTCTGGTCCAGACTCGATTATTTACAGACCGCCGCCATATAGCTGGAATATTGCTGGGTGAAGCGTAAAACTAGACTCAATCAATCAATTACAATACACTTTTGTACAGATGACACACAATACAAAATGTCCTATTGGGAATTGTTTCAGCCCAGGTATAACATTATTTAGATATACATATAAACTAGGCTGTTCATGCATACATTGATGTTGATTGAAACTTGATCTTTTCTTAAACATTAATAGTCAAAAGGAATGCACGTATAGTCAGAGAGAATGAATATATATAATGACTTGTAGTGCAACCATGGATGTTTATTGTTATTGTTATTACACAATGTATCACATACACAACCACAGGTCTGGGGAAACACTCAGGAGACAGCTGACCTGGTACCTGAGATACCCATCCCAGGGGTACTTCCTACTTCCAAGCTGTGTTGCGTATGGCCCTTTTTTAAGGAGATGGGCAATGTCAGCCTGTATGAGAGACTTAGAGGGTTTCATAGTGAGTCATGAAGACTGACCCTGAACAATTCCCTCATATGAATGAAAATAACTTGAACCGTTGTTTAAATTGAATGATTTAGGAAATAATATAGAAAAGATAGAGAAAGTTGAATTATAGTTTGTGAAGATATGAATTGATGTGCATTGTGAGTCCAACACTGTCACAGGATCACTCATACCCCGTCCCATCATGTTTCTGTCCCCAGTATAGTAGTTCCCTTGTCTTGGCTGAAACAAGCTGCACAGTCATCTTACCATGTTAAAGCACATGATGTCAGATCATAATGCAAAGTCACCTGTTAATCTGACATGAGATATGACCATTTTGTCCCATTTACCACTTTCAGGTGGAAGAGATCTCAAGCTCTGTATCAGAACACATGGCTTCTTTGTAACGTTTACTTATGTTTTCCAGATCAATAGGCAATTTATATTTCTGGGCTGTGTTATATTTTTCAAAATTTCCTTTAATTTAGATGATATTGAACATTGATATATATTTTCAACATAAAGAGTTTTGTCATGTAAATATTTCAGATAATTGTTTATGTGAATAGACCATGGAGTTATAATCCACCATGTCTAATTACAGAATTGTACCCTTTGAATGTGGTATTCTTTGATGAACCCCTCAACAAAACCCTAGTAATGCCTGTGGACTTAATCACCTTTTCAGTACATTTTTTCCAAAAACCCTTGATTAATATTGGCTTTCTGGTAGTTAATTATTTGTTCCTCGCTCCCTCCCACACTTACAGCTCTGGCTGTGTTTCACCAATGTCCCAGTGCTATTGTGTCGAGGTCCTTGTTATCAGGTGTCCCCATGGCTGACTGGACAGGTCAGCAGGCAGAACGGTCACCTGGCTCATGGGAGATACTCCCTGATGTCGGGGATCATGTTCTCACTTCACACACTACAACTTAATTTGTTATGACAATGTTAATATGGAGACCTAGCTTGTTCTTATTGAGGCTATGTTTTGCCTCTGCTTGTGGTAGCAATACCGACTGATCTCTTTACCAATGTTGATCCCCTGTGTTGAAGCCCACAGAATGGAGCCAGTGGACCATGAGGGTTCTACACGTCCAGTTGTGGTCCTGCTCATGTACATGACTGTCTTTTCTTCCATACATTTGTTGCAATGGAGGTAGTTCAGCTCCCAGACATATCTGTGATAGCCCACTGAGTTGTACATTGTTCTGGCGATCTCTTATTTCTCTTTGTATTGATGTTTTATCAGTCACAAGGACTAAGGTGTAATACCCAATATTGTTGACAAGACATGCTGGGTGGTGGGAGATAGGAGTTAACTTACTTATAACAGTTGATCACAGTTTAACAGACTTCAGTGTTGCCCAGCAAACCCCTGTCCCGTATGTGGGATATCTTTATAGAGGATAACAGTGATTGTAATTTACATAGCGGATTACAAAACTCAATTAGTTTTAGACTGAATGGAAGCATTAAACAACGATATGTGAAAAATATCATATCTTTTCGGAAAACAGTACCAAACAGCAGATTATTGGAGCAGCATTTATTGTTACCAACAATTCTAATTCTGATATATTTCAGTGATATAGCAATCATTCAGTTTTGTTTAAGCAATCCCCAGTGTTATGTGTAAAGTAAGGAAACTCACCCAGACATGAGTTAAAGTATATCTACCAGGGTATTATTCCAACTCATTGCCTTTGTAAAAACTTATCTCGTGTAAGTGAGTGAGTGAATTAAAATTTAGCGTCACGCCAGTAATGCCTGGTAAGAAGATATGTTACATTATATGTGTTTGAAATACAACCCTACATCCACTGGGAGAAAGCACTTCATAATTACACACAGACTCTATCCAATGTAAATATTCAAAATATATATTGTTTACCTAATCCGTTGTGTGTCTTGCAACGTAAAAATGAAACCAGGAATTAAACCTGATTTTTGGGTCATTTTGTTTGTCTGCTTTTTATGATGAATTAAACAATGATTTGGATGTTATTACCCTCCAATGAGAACCTTCACGATTTCATTAAGGCAGATAATAAGTAGGCACCATAACAGTGTGGGTGAAGACAGATTGTAATGACATGTGTTTTGAAGAGATAGATCAAGGTTAACCATAATTAGGAAAGGGATGATCATAATTACATAGTTTGGGATAATTCTGATGGACAAAAGGATTGTCAACACAGTTATTGTGTTTGTTTCTTATACTGTAGTTAGTTGGTGTATGTTTCTGGTCAGGTTCTTACGTTACATTTTACCTCTCAGAAAGGTTTTGGAACCCCCAACACCCATACGTATCCACCACATGCAGAGTACAATTAGCAATCATTGTAGTTGGATTCAAGGTGTTAGTTAGGCAGCAAGCTAAGACAATTTTAGTTAAACATGTAGTTGTTCAAGTGGGTGTTAGATTTTGTCAGGTAGAATTATTAAAACTGAAACTTAGTAATTTAAGATGGTTGATCATAATTACATACTTTGTGAGAAGGCTGATCATGTTTACATACTTTGGGAGAAGGTTGATCATAATTACATACTTTGGGTGAAGGTTGATCATATTTACAAACTTCAGAAGAAGGTTGATAATAATTGCAAACTTCGGAAGAAGGTAGATCATATTTATAAACTTCAGGAGAAGGTTGATCATGATTGTATATGTTGTGAGAGCTGATCATACTTAAATAAAGTTAATGATAAAAACATACTTTGGGAGGAGGTTGAACATATTTACATAATTTGGGAGGAGGTTGATAAGATTTACATACTCTGGGAGGAGGTTCATCACATTTAGAAACTTTGGAAAAAGCTTGATCATGTTTACATACTCTTGGAGAGGGCTGATTATATGTACATACTTTGGGAGGATGATTATCAAATTTACATGCTATAAGAGATTGTTGATAATAACATACTTTGGGAGTAGGTTGATCATGTTTACATACTTTGAGAGAAGGCTGATCATGTTTACATACTTTGAGAGAAGGCTGATCATGTTTACATACTTTGAGAGAAGGCTGATCATGTTTACATACTTTGAGAGAAGGCTCATCATGTTTACATACTTTGAGAGAAGGCTGATCATATTTACATACTTAGGGAGAAGGCTGATCATGGTTACATACTCTGGGAGAAGGCTGATCATATTTACATACTTTGGGAAAAGGCTGATCATGTTTACATACTTTGAGAGAAGGCTGATCATGTTTACATACTTTGAGAGAAGGCTGATCATGTTTACATACTCTGAGAGAAGTCTGATCATGTTTACATACTTTGAGAGAAGGCTGATCATGTTTACATACTTTGAGAGAAGGTTGATCATGTTTACATACTCTGGGAGAAGGTTGATCATGTTTACATACTTTGAGAGAAGGCTGATCATGTTTACATACTTTGAGAGAAGGTTGATCATGTTTACATACTTTGGGAGAAGGCTGATCATGTTTACATACTTTGAGAGAAGGCTGATCATGTTTACATACTTTGAGAGAAGGTTGATCATGTTTACATACTTTGAGAGAAGGTTGATCATGTTTACATACTCTGGGAGGAGGTTGATCACATTTAGAAACTTTGGAAAAAGCTTGATCATGTTTACATACTCTTGGAGAGGGCTGATTATATGTACATACTTTGGGAGGATGATGATCAAATTTACAACCTTTCGGAGAAGGTTGATCATAATTGTATACTTTGGGAGAAGACTGATCATATTTACATGCTATAAGAGATTGTTGATAATAACATACTTTGGGAGTAGGTTGATCATGTTTACATACTTTGAGAGAAGGCTGATCATGTTTACATAC